TGATTGGTCCTGTTATTGTTCAAGCCAAACTGTCCGTCCATGAATTGTGGAAGCGTAGATGCAACTGGGATGATCCACTGAACAATGATCTACTAGAAACATGGCTGGAGTATCGGAGAAACATGATCGGATTGGATGGATTCTCGTTTCCACGCTGGGTTGGAGTTGAATTCTGTGATGCTTCGAAGAAAGCCTACGGGGCTTGCATCTTCATTAAAACCATTTCGGAAGATGACACAGTTGAAGTTCGTTTGTTCACAGCAAATCTCGAGTTGCTATTCGCAGGAATGTGGAATCGTTCATCATCAACAAATCTCGTATGGTTGATAGCGTACATTCAGCGTTTCAGCTTCAACGCCAAGGCTGCCAATCGATGATGTCGAAAACAAGGTTCTCTAACGCTCGTCGACCGCGAGGATAGACTTCGAATGCTGGTACGCCTGGCACAGAAGGAATGCTTCCCACAAGAATATGCAAACTTGTTGAAAGATCGCAAAGTTCAATGTTCTTCGAGAATTGCATCTCTGAATCCAGCGTTGGCGGCCGGCTAGGAAACGCTAAGATTCCAACAAGAAAAAGCATTCGTACATATTAGATAATCGTCATCCACTTACTTTGCTCATCATGACTTAGTATCACGAGACTCTCTTCCACACTGGTCAGCAATTCATCTGTACTGGCCAACAAGCATCCGAAATCTAGTAATCCACGACTGCGTACGCTGCTTTCATACCAAACCGAAGGTTCATGAGCGGCTACTGGCTGACCTTCGGTCGGAGAGAGTAACACCATGCACTCCTTCTCAACGTGTTGGCAACGACCTCTGTGGTCCATTTCTGGTCACTTATCCTCAGCACCACCCTGTGAAATGTTTCGTCGTCGTCTTTTCTAGTGGCTTTTCTAGCTTCCCTCAGACGATTTTTATCTCGGCAAGAACTTTGTCGGAGCCAAACGACAGCTAGAGCAACTTCGCTAACTCGTCATCAGCCATGAATTCCAGACAACGTGACCAGAAATGCAACGAACGACAATATAGAATTTCGTTTCATTCCCGCGCGCTTACGGGGCTGTTCAAAAACTGCGTAGACATTTTAGGGGGGGAGGGGGTTGTTGACAATTATTCACGACCCAAAAAAATTATAAAATTCCAAGAATCCCAAAAAAAAACTGTCTACGTAGCTTATGAACAACCCCTACCCAACTTCGGAGGTTTATCGGAGAGTGCTGTAAAATCGTTCAAAACTCTACTGCAGAGAACAATATAGGATCACGAAGCTTGCTGTACGACGAATTTCAAACTGTTCTCACACAGATCCAATCAGTTCTGAATTCTCGTCCGCTAACCCCACTCACTACGAAGCTCTCACACCAGGTCATTTCCTCATCATAAATAATAATCCTTCATGGAAGTGGAAATAGGACATGATTCCAAGTGTTAAATTACAACAGATGGCACTTAGTGCCGCTTAGTGATGGATCGGTGTTTTAATTCCTTTGCGCTACTAGCACCTCTTCAAAAAGATATCTTCAGTGAGTAGAGTTGTCGTCCTATTGGAGCGGAGTGCTACACACCAATGAGCAGTAGTGTTTTAAGTGCATAGATGTCACTGATGTTGGAAGAGTGACGATGGATTAATACAAATACTGAAAAAGTTTCGGATCAATGGTGATTCTCAGATCAAAGATTGGATGTTTCCGTTCCAGAGCTACTTTCTCCATATAGTATTGATGTAGGATATAATTTTGCACTTCTGACATATATCCGTTGTCACCACAACATATCAGCATTAATTCTATATCCACTTGCAATGCAACACAGTCCAAGGGGTCGTGGCTTTGTAATTATTAAATAATATTCGTTATTTACTAAGATTCATTACATAGTCATCAATTAAATGATCATATGTTGAACACAAACTTTCCCCAAATCCTTCTAATTAACCCTCTGAAAATGACTTCTCAGTTTACGAAACACTTCTTGGACTAGTTGTTCTGTGATTTAAGATCATCAAATAGAATGTCCTTATCCAGTGACAATAGCTAGGAAATTTAAATCGATAATCGTTTGTTGGTTTTCCAAATGCGATCCATCAAACTATTCTGTTTATTTTATAACAATGTTGACGGCCAGGGGTGATCAACTTTGCACACTGTGCCAAAACACAGAACGGCACACTGTTCGGTACGATAGGGCACACTTTCACTGGCAGGACACAAACGATATAATATAAAATGGCATAACTGTTGAGTGTTGGCGTGTTGCCCATCGTTGCTAAGGTTGACTATTCGGTTGAATGCTCTGAGAGAATTTGTTGTCATATAAAACTAGTAAAACAACGATTCAATCAAGAATTTGCGAACGATAAACCGGTTTCGAGGATCGCTCCGAAGAAAATCTGTACGTATTCTCTGAACTGTGAACCTCTTTAAATCTAGCAAAACTCAGTTCGTCTCATCCGATTCACAGCAAAAATCCCGGTGGCTCGTGATTTCATCCAGAACAGCTTCTATTCGGGATTGACTTCAATCTAGTTCATCCACACCATGGCCGGTCGAGAGGGTCTTGTCGATACGGCAGTCAAGACGGCTGAAACTGTTACCTCCAGCGACCGACGGTTGATCAATAGCTACCTATGGTGCAAACTGGTTGGATCCCGTGATCATGAAAATCAAAAACAAACCTGGAGACAATGAACGTCAGTTTAAAAACGTTCGCAGTCATTGGTCTCAATTGATATTGGCCACAGGACTTTATAGGGATGTCTATATAATTTTGAATGAAGTCCCAGTACTGCTGGGGGAAGTCAATATTTATTAACCCCACATATTCCATCAGACCTGGATCGGAGTACGATTGCCTTAGTGCAATAGTATAGGATTTATAGGAACGGATCATTGCAATTAAAAATGCATTCTATTCCACGAGTCCGTATCAAGGGACCCCAGAGCGATGGGTGCCCATTACTGAAAATTTGATTTGGTGCTTCATTATAAACTGGCCCGAGGATGTTGCTCCTAGGGTGGGATTGAATTCTCGCCCGTTCAAATTCTGAGTTACTTTAGTCGGGAATAATTTGACAGGGAGCAGGTGGCAATCTCATCCATCATCGATTGTGTTGCGCCTTCGTTTCTGTACATCTGCAAGAAATAAGCAGCCGGAATCTGGTGGACGAGTTGAACACCGTAGAGGTTTATTGGCTTCCACTTCCTATACCACCTCCCGATCCGCAAACGCACTAATGAGAATGAAGGGAAGCTGAATGCTTGCCTTGATCCATCTGATAAATTGAGAATGAAAACACAATACAAAAAATATAACTCTCGGGGTTGCCAAACTCATGGAATATTGGCACATTGATAGGCACACTTTGATTGAAACCACATTCGACATAGCGCTTGGCACAGCTTTCACAATCATTCGGCACGGATTAAGGTGTGCAGAGTGGAATACCCCTTGGTCGACGGTCTACTACCAACAATCAATACGAAACTAACGATTTTAAATTGGCTCACTACTTGACTAGCCTATTGGTCCCAAGCAAACGATTAACGTACCCCATTCTAGTCGAAATTCTAGTACAAAACAATGTTTGTTTTGATTCGCTATAAAAGTTTGACAGATAAAATGAGGGGTTAGTGGATTTTCCTGTGTTTCGAGGGGTGAATCGATTAGCTTGGGACAGAAGATAGTACCAGCACAGACAAACAGACATAACTAATTGAGTATTTCTCAATGTAAAACATCGTCGCTAAAACATTACCGCCATCTGTTGAGTACACTGAGGTGAGCATTACACTGAACAGATGGCGGTAGTGTGTAAACGTCAAACGCAAGGGAATTGACTATGCACGTCACAGGAGGCGGTACTACCAACTACGATACTTATAAATTGTCCGTTAAATGCTTGTTCGATGAACAACTTGCTTATGTCTGTTTGTCTGTGGTACCAGCAAAGTCCCCAAGCTAATGAATCCTCCGAATTGTCCGGAATTTCGACCAATCGGAAAATACTGGGCAATTTCAAAGCAGTGACTTCGACGAAGCGGCGGGTTAGTCAAGGACATCCAGCAAATGCGGGCAAAATGGAAGAAATGTGCTGATTCCGTGTCCGTTTCCACTGAGCGGGCGTTGATGGGCTCCATCAAGAGGAAAGTTCGAGATATCGTTCGAACTGGAGAAATGTAACCATATAATGTTGTAACTTTGAAGTTTGAATAAAAACACTGTAAAGCAACCATATTATTAGACATTATCAAATCCAATGGTACGTGCTTAGTTTAGGCTGACGCACAAAAAGACCTGTAATTAGTGATTCAATAAATTGAAAAAGTCCATTAATGGTTGCTTTACAGTGTTTTTATTCAAACTCGTTAAACGAGTCAAAAAAATTTAAAAAATATAATATTGCTTCTTCATTCCAAATTCGTTCTGCGAGTTTCAATCCTATCCTAATGCACTGAAACTCCATTGGATTTTATTCTTTCTACGGATGATGGAAGAAAAAATTGATTTACTAGAAGCGTTTCTTTTGTTTTGATAACAATGAGCGTAAATATTCAAACAACACGCTTTGTTTTGTAGTTTATGAGCTAACGCATCAAATTTTTTGTATTATTGATTTTTACACCATGAAATCATTGATATTATTGATGTTTTCTGCTCGATAGAACTGAAATGAGCGATTACGACAAAGGAACGCTCTACTCTGGCTCCTATTTGTTTTTTTTTTTTATCATATCTAACATATGTATGTCCTATATACATAGAAAAATAATTGAACAATCACATAGCTTCAACGATCATACCATGAAGAAAACAACAATCCAGTGCTTGAGAACCCTATGAAAACCCAACCAACTGTTGCATTCCCATCCCATTACACAAATACCAAGAAAGAACTCACTGCACTCACGGTTGCTCACCACCACCAGCTTTCGCCGGCAAAACAAACAACAACCCCCCCCCCCCCCCCCCTTCAACACCCTGTTCATACCCATACCTGGTCTTATTGCTGCCTTTGTCCTTGTACGTGCTGCTATAGAATCCAACGATCCGGTTCGCCAAACTGCCACTAAAGTTCATACTCAACCGGTACTCCCCGGACTCGATGCCCTCCGTTTCGATCACCCAATACTGGTGGGGCTCGTACTCAAAAGCCTGCTTCACCTTCACCGGCTCCTCCGTACGATCCGGCAACTTCTTCTTCAGCAGCGTATCGGTAATCGCTAGTTGCTTGCTATGCAGCACGATATAGTCCGTCGGTTCACTTACGCTGATATCGATTCCAACTTGCCCGGTAAAAATCTGCTGTTCCAGATCCGGAAACATCTTCAAGTCATAGTGACGAGGCTTTACGTGCCGCGGCAAGCGGAAGGTTAACTTTTCCAACACTTTCGAACCCATCTTAAGCACGTTCATTCCATCCGTCGTTCCCGAGTACACTGAATTTGGTAAAAATATGGCAGTCCTATTATCTCCACTAACCGGCTCTTCGTCGGCCCGGTCGAATGTCCCCTTATCTTCACCGAACAGATTCGGCCGATTAAAATGATCGATGCTTTTTCCCTGCTTGCGGTCACTACTAGTAGGTGACGTTTGATGGTGATTCGCGGTGAGATACGACGAGAACAATGGCGGCGAAGATTGTGCCGACAGACTCTTGCCGACCAGCACCAGCGCACTCAGCAGACAAAGGCAGAGCACGAAGAGAAACGCACATGCCGCGAGCAGCGAGAGAATGAGAATCGAGCGTCGTTTGCTCTCGCTCGCCGCCTCCAACGATGCACTGGACGACATCATGGAACTGCGCTGGTGGGAACTGCTGAGGGAGAAATGCGACGGCGGTCGAATGGTAGATGGTCCACTGCCAACACCTGCTCCGGGATGCTTAACCGTCATTGTTACGGAATTTTTTGGTTAAACCTAATTTTGTACTATCGCACTTTTTTTTTTGTTATGTCAGACTAAAAGTCACTCATTTTTTCACACAATAAAAATCGACGCAATTTTAGTTTCGTCGAAAGAGTTATTACCCAAGCCGGTTATGGTTGATTCGTTGCACTTTTGCTTGGAGTTGAAATTGTTCTTTTCTGCGATTAGAAACCGAAAGCACTGCGTTTGTTTTGTTTATTCGTTGGTTGTTGGTGGACGTTGAAAGCGAATGAGAGGGAGAGAGAGAGAGGAAGGAGGTGTTCAAGTAAAATGCAGCCCAAGGGCAGCCGGTTGGCGGACCTTAGAGTTGGAAAAGGTGCTGCATGTTAAACTCTCTTGGCGATGGAGCTAACTACTGTGAGAAAAGACGTTTGATTTGTTTGCGATTTGTATGGGAACTGGATGCGATGCGGGCACGTGGTTTTGATGCTTTGTGATCGAATGATGTGTAGGTTCACTAAAATTCCGGTTTGAAAAAGAGTCTCATGAACAGACCTTCTCCGCAACTCACGGAGGACCATGTGGTGGCCTCCAACGTCCAACTAATTAATTATTCATATATTGCTTGTACAAATCTAGATAAAATTTCAAAAGGTCTTATCTGCTTTGATCGAGAGCAGACAGAGATTGACTTTCTTTTTCGATAATAACTTGCAATAAGTTGCAAACAGATTTCGTGCTATTTTTGCCATATAGTTTGAAGAAGGAGATTCTTATCTGGCGTCCAAAATGGCAAACACAACAGGTAAAGTTTGAGCAGCTACGATATTAACAAATAAGAAAGTTGATGAAGAGAATCGACAGGACAGAACCTTTTGACATGTTCGTCTAGAAATGTTTTGAGAAAAAAAAACCACGGAGTATGGAAACAACAATTTTTAAACGGATGCTCGGATCTTTTGGAGTTCCGTCCAAGGGTCCAACCACGAATACATTGTTATACAGGATGTTCGGTTCCTTAGTGCAAAACATTTAATGGGCGATAGAAGATCATATTTGAAGTAAAAAAATGTTCTACGCATATGATCAAATCTCAAAGATTGCTGAGTTATTGAACTTTTTTTGTTTTGGTCTATACTTGCCATAAATTGTCCCTCACTCGAAAACTGTGTCATTTAGCACAAAACTCTTGCCTCCATTGAACAGTTTGGTAGATTTACCACTTAATAGTGTCATTTTTACTTTAAGTAAGCTGCATTTAGACACATTTTAGGGATAAACGAGTCTAATACTTGTGTTTTCCTAAGGGTTTTCCCTTATTATTTAAAAAAAATACGTATTAAAGCGTATTGTTCTGTCTAACCAAAAGATGCCTCTCAATTGTTTTTCTTGTCACACCGTCACTCCGCGTGGCGATCAAGTGTGACCAAGACCAAAATAGAAAACTCAGTAGTCTTTGAGATTTGATCATATGCGTAAAAAATTTTTTTACTTCAAATATGATCTTCTATCGCCCTTAAATTACTTGCACTAAGGAACCGTATAAGATATACAGCCAACTGGGAAATGTAAGATTCCATTGGAGAAATGCACGAAAAGTATGCAGAATTTGCATTATTTTGCGACATGAACAGATTTTGGAATGTGGTCGCTGGAAGAATATTTAAATAATTTTGAAATTTTTATGTAAGCTTAATTTTCAAACGAAGTTTGTTTCTTCAAGTGCATTGCGTCTAGAAAATCAACTCGTGACGGCAACCGAGATGAACTAGCCTCCTCAATAAGGCCGGAACAAATCACACTCGATGCTCGCAGCAGTCGAGGGAGGGGATAAAAAATTAACCAAAAAAAAAAAAATAAAACATTTAAAATTCGGTTTACATTTTATCAAAACCGTATATTTTTAACGCTAACATTTTTTCTTAGCCTTCGCTTTAGCCTTATACTTCTTTGAAGCCGTGATTTTTGACACTAATGCCACAAATGTTGACTTTATTATGTGTAAGATTCGAGTTATCAACAAGACATTTCGCGCATAAGTTTTATTATCCTTTCAAAGAAGAACATTGGTAATAATGTAGATGAATAGGATCAAAGCAATTGATTTTTGGGTATTAATAAATTCTGGATAAACCATCAAGCGGAATACCATAAACTTAACAGTTCTTATCAGAAAAAAAGTTCTGTTTTCGATACTTCCTCCCTATGACTCAGTTTTCTTAACAATTGTTTTTGCTTCCAAAAATCTAACTAGACGTATGGATTCAGGAAGGTCTATTCAACAAAATCCAAGCGTAATATTCAAAGGAAGGATCCAAAATCCATCTTGGTTGAACATAAAAACCAAATTTTAACAAAAATACGTAGTTTTGTCAATTTAAACCTGGCTTTGTGTGTGCTTAAAAAAATAATCATCACATGTGAATTCAGCAAGGTCAATTCTATAAAATCTAAGCATAACTTTCAAGGGACAGTATCAAAATCCAACTTAGCAGAAAAGGATAACAAAAAAAACCCTTTCGAATTACAAACCCGGTTCAACCTTCACGTATGGATTCAGCAAGGTCCATTCTAAAAAATACAATCCTATTTTTCAAAGATTTGAGCCAAAACGCAATTTGGCAGAACCAAAAAACTAAATTTCTATGAAAATACGGATGGATTCAGCAATTCGTTAAATCCACTCCTATTTTTCAAAGAAAGGAGCCGAAATTCAACTTGGCTGAACAAGAAACCCAAATTTCTATAAAAATACGTACTTTTGAGAATTCAAACCCAGTTTTCTGAAAAAAAAAATAGTGCATGCTTCAAAAACTTTACCATCACGAATGAATTCAGCAAAGTCCATTCTATAAAATTCAAGTCTATTTTCAATGATCGCAGCCGAAATTCAACTTAGCAGAACAGAAAATCAAAGTTTTTATGAAAAAACTCGGTATTCTCAAAAATTAAAGAAATTCAACCCTCACGTATGGATTCAGCAACTTCTATTAAAATACAAGCCTATTCAATGATAGAAGCCAAAATTAAGTTCGGAACAACAGAAAAATTAATTTTCTATGAAAATACCTTCTTTTGTGAATATTAACCAGGTTCGTCCTTCCGGTATTCAGCAAGTTCCATTCTATAAAATCCAAGCACAAATTTCAAAAGATTGAACCGAAATCCAACCTGGCTTCAAAAAAATCTACCATCACGTATGAACGCACAAAGGTCTATTCCATAACATCCAAGCCTGTTTTCCAAAGGACGGAGCCAAAATCCCACTTGGCTGATCAAGAAACTCAAATTTCTAAAAAAAATACGTACTTTTGTGGATGTAAGCCCAGTTTTCTCAACAATTGTGTTGCTATAAAAAAAATCTACCATTAGGTATGAACACACGAAGGTCCATTCTTTAAAATCTCAGATTAATTGGGTTCTCTAATTTTGAAAAATGTATCGTTTTTTATAGATCATCTGAAATTGCTTCGTTTTCTGAGTACCTACAGCGATATTTTTTTCGAACCCACACACTTTCATCTCGATTTTCCAATCAAGATTTAAAGCAAAATAATAACTTCACTGATTGACACTAACCTAACAAACTGACAGCTCGCTACCATACAAAGTGACACCGAGGGGCGCTAATAAGGTGATTTTAGCAAACGTAATCGTACTTATTTAAAATAGTTCCAGTGTACCAACATTTTTGAAATTTTGGGTTTAAGTTTCATTTTAATGCAGATTACGAAAATGCATTTACCTCAATACCCTTAAAGAACCCAATTTTCAAAGGATGTGAATGCCACAAGAACGAGGATGGGATCTAAGGGAGCGAAATCTACGTTAAAAGTTAGGTAAATCACTTCAGGAAAGCTCAGACTAACATTCAATATAATTCAATCACTCAACAGAAAAGTTTGGACTCCCTAAGGAAGGTTTTGAACCACTTCAGAAAAGGTTGGACACCATTTGGAAAATTTAAGCTCAAAAAATTGTCGGTTCACTTCGGAAAACTTTCTACACTTTCACTAAGCAAGATTGTGTCCTTACCAAATTCCAAAGCAGGTAATAAAAATCTGGAGCTCACTTAGGAAAATATCAAACCCGTTCTGACAAGTTTGGATTCAGTTCTGAAAAAGTTGAATCAACCTTGGAAACCTTGGATTCATTTAGGAAAAGGATTAATCAGCTAATGTTGCCTCACTTCAGAAAATGCGAAACCAATTCTTTAAATATTGGATTTGGAAATTTGTTGAATCACTTCAGGAAAGTTTTGACAACTTTAATAAGGATTGAATAACATAACAGAAAAGTTTAGACTCAGTTAGAAAAATATTGATGACTTATTCGAAAGTTTGAGCTCACTTTAAAAAAGTTCAGACTCTGCTTTGAAAAGTGTCACCTCAGTTAGGAACTTCCTGAATCGTTTCTGATTTAGTCTTACTTCTAAAAATTTTAAACCAATTTTGAAAAGATTGGATTTAGCTCGGTAATTGTTGAATCACTGTAGAAAAGAAGTGAATCATTAAGTACCGTGCCGATTCAAATTTCGGACACTTAAACTCGAATTTCGGACACTTTTAAAAGTTGATTATCTCGGTCGAATATGATCCACATGTCTTGTAAATTTTAAATTTTTTTTGACTAGTGCCCTCCACGATCATCTAACATTATTACTTTGTTTTTAACTGGATGTAATATTTAATTAAAAATGAAAGTGTTCGAAATTTGAATCGGAACGGTATCATTGCAGAAGGTTTGTAAGTTAAGAAATGTTTATCAAATGCAAAAATCTGGTGACTACGGTGGGCTGGGCACATTGTAATAATGTCGGATAACGACCCACTGAAAATGGTTCTTTGTAGTGACGACAAGACGAAGATGTGCGCAACGAACAAGAGGGATAGATCAGATTGAAGGTGGCTTACCTAGTGAGTTGCCAAACAACATTAGGAATGATGTTCGATAAAATCCCTTTTCAACAACTGAAACCGGCTGATCCGATTTCAAGGACCTGTCAAGTACCAATTTATGTGAAAATTCTTTAAAAGAACAAGGTGATACAACAACAACAACATAATAAAATCCTTCGGATGGTCCCCGGTTCATGAGTTGATGGGTCGATAGGTAGGGTCTCCAGGTGTGGGAGCTGCCTTCCTGGCACGTCGCACAGTGGTCCAAACGGCGAAAAACGTGATCGTGTGAGATTACGCAAAATCCCTTGACT